AAAGACTTGTCTAGGCCATTCAGCCAGGAAGTAGACACAATCCAAAAGCTGGCCTCCTGCTGCCCGGCTCTGCGAGCTGGACAGTGTCAATCACCTGCGTGTTAAATCAGCTGAGGCGCTGAACACTGCCCGCTGGCCGGGTCCCGGGCTGGACCAACGCAGACACTTGATGTCTCTGGACCAAAAATACACACACAGTCACCGTCCACTGTGATGCAAGACCAAATGGCTGGCACTCACCTAGGCCAAAGACTCTGGAAACACCAGTCTCCCTAGGGACTCTAATGACCAGCCAGGGTGGGCCCACCATCACCTCTCCTCCATTTCACACTTCAGAAAACACAGCTCCTGACAAAGCAGGAAATATGCTAAGGACAGTTAGCCATGATGCAGAAGACCCTGCAGTCTCGCCGCCTACTCCGCCCCACTGGCCTTGCTGGTAGTTGCCAGAGACCAAGAGCAGACATCTGAAACAAGATCCACGGTGGAGTGCCAGTGCTGTGGCGTAGCAGGTAAAGCCGCCACCTGCAGTGCCGGCATGCCATATGGGTGTCGGATGGAGAATAGGCTGCTCCACTTCCGATCCAGTTCTCTGCTATGGCCTGGGAAAGCAGTAGAAAATGGCCCAAGTCCTTAGGCCCCTGCACCTGCATGGGAAGACCCAGAGGAAGCTCCTGGCTTCAGAATAGCGCAGCTTCAGCCATTGTGGCCAATTGGAGAGTGAACCAGCAGATGGAAGACTGACTCACTCTCTCTCTCTCTCTCTCTCTCTTTTCCTCTCCTCTCTCTATGTAACTCTTTCAAATAACTCCCTACCACCACAACCACACAAAACACAAATGAAGGCCGGCGCTGTGGCTCAATAGGCTAATCCTCTGCCTGCAGCACCGGCACACCGGGTTCTAGTCCCAGTCAGGGCACCAGATTCTATCCCGGTTGCTCCTCTTCCAGTCCAGCTCTCTGCTGTGGCCAGGGAGTGCAGTGGAGGATGGCCCAAGTGCTTGGGCCCTGCACCCGCATGGGAGACCAGGAGAGGCACCTGGCTCCTGGCTTCAGATCAGCATGGTGCACCAGCCACAGCGGCCATTGGGGGGTGAACCAATGGAAAAGGAAGACCTTTCTCTCTGTCTCTCTCTCTCTCTCACTGTCCACTCTGCCTGTCAAAAAAAAAAAAAAAAGAAAAGAAAAGAAAAAGACCCACAGCATAGCTGCCTCTCTAACACCCTGCCACAGAGGTTTGAGAGGAGAAATGCAATTAACAGGAGGCTTCAACTCCCAGCCCCACATATATACCCTGCCTCTTTTCTTCTCATTACCCCTCCTTTCCACACCTGAGACCTATAAGGTCAGTCCTAGAGTCCTACAAACGGCAGAGTGAGAACACAGCCTGCTAGGGCTACTCGGCACAGCTCCTGCTTCTAGGAAAGTGGCTGCCCCCACCACCTACCTACACCCACGTAGGTGTCCAAGGCCAGCACGCAGGGAAGAGAGACGGAGGCACGGCCTGTTTCCCTTCCTGTGGGCACAGCCATCCCGTTTTAAAGGGCTACCGGCACTCAGTGGCAAGAAGACAAGGATCATCATTCCTGTTCACAGCCCCTAGCACTGGTCTAAGACCTGAACATCTCTGACCCAGAACTCAACACTAGTCCTCAGGCCTGTGAATGAATGAATGACCATAAACACAAGGAACTCAAGTATTGCCCAGGGTCAGAGGACCCAGGACAAAGATGCTAGAACTTGGGAAGAGGTCACAGAAAAACGCATGAATGTAGGCAGGTAGTAGACCAAAGTCTCCGAGCCTCCAGCCCTCCCGCTTTGTAGGTAAGGGTGACTATGTGACTTGCTTTAGCCAGGTAGAAGTTTTAAGAGCTGGGGTCAACTCATCACGCTGTCTTGTCCCTCTGTCCAAGTGGCCAGGGATTTCTAACCAATTAGTACGGGTTCACAGTGAGGACAGCACAAAGCGGAGGTGCAACAGTTATCTGGTGTAACCATGAACATTTTACTAGGACTTGGGATTGTTGTTACCACAGCAAACCCTGATTTATCCAGATAGCAGGAGTGACTCCCCCATCTCCCATGCTCAGCAGGGCTGGCCTTTCCCTTCCCTGGCCTCAGGGAAACAGAAGCTCCATTTCCAGTCAGTTAATCAGCAGGGGTTTGGAGACATCTGCTACACATCCAGACTGTGCTAGAATAAATGAGATGCTGGGGCTAGCTTGTGACACAGTGGGTTAAGCTATCACTTGTGACACTGGCATCCCATATTGCCAGTTTCAGTGCCGCCTACTACGCTTCTGATCTTGGGAAAGCAGAAGATGGCTCAGGTGCAGGGCCCCTGCCACCCAAGTGGTAACCCAGAGGGAGTTCTGGACTCCTGTGCCTGCCCTGTCTGTAGCAAGCATTCGGAAGGTGAATCAGGAAAACGAGGATCTTTCTCTCCTCTCTCTTCCTCCCTCTCTGTTGCTCCTCCTTTCAAACACTAAGTCTTTTTTTTTTTTTTTTAATTACCTCTGGAAGGAAAGCACTGTCTAAATTAGAAATGAGAAAACCTGGCTTCTGAGACCTCATGCAAGTTAGTCTGCAACCTCTCTGGGCCAAAGTGTCTTTACCTGGAAAATGGGGTAGGCAAACCAATTAATACAAGTAAAGCTTCTAGCACAGTGCTTGGTGTTACATCTCAGTAGATAAGTATTAAGTTTCAATAAATTCACTATTACCATCACTATTAAACCTTCCACATAACTGCCATAAACTTGTCCATAACATTTACTACATTTTTTTGATGATTTGTTTATTTGAAAGGCAAGCAACTGACAAGGAAAGACAGAGAAACAAGTTCCATTTGTGGTTCACGGCCGTAACAGACAAGGCTGGGCCAGGCTTAAGCCAGGAGCCAGGAACTCCATCCTCCTCTCCCACATGGCTGGGAGGGGCCAAGCTATCTGGGCCATCATCCGCTGCCTTCCCAGGCACATTAGCAGGAAGCTAGATGGGAAGTTAGGAGCCAGGACATAAACTGGCACTCTGATACGGGACACCAGGCATCACAAGCAGCAACTACACCTACTGCACCACAATGGCAACCCTTTACGTTCTAATCCCATAAAGCTTTCCCAGCACTGGCACAATGGCACTGTGTAGGCACTACCAAAACAAGATCAAATCCCTTGGGAGAACAAAGTGAGGCCTCAGGGAATGGTTCCAGAACCCAGGGCTCTCCTGCTCCCTGGCCTGCTTGGAACATCACTTCAACCACCACAACCTGCAGGGCAGGACTCGCCCCTCCCATACAAGGGAAGAGCTTCTCCCTCCCACTCCCAAACACTGCGAGGAAGGAGCCCTCATCTGTCCTAAGAGACTAGGACAGAGGGCTGCTTGTAAAAGGGCCTTCAGTGGGGAAGCCAAGCCTTCTGTAGCCCCCCCGCCCTTTCTTCTTGGAGGCAGTCACAGAAGCCCCAGAGGGCTGGGGTTCCTGCGTGAGCGAGTGGTGCTGCTACAGCAAGCCCAGATCAATAAGCACTTCTGAGCACCTACTGCAAAGTTTACAGCCAGGCAGGCAACGCTGAGCCCCAAACAGTGCTTGCTAGAGTGCCTGGCACCCCACAGACTCTCAATCATGCTTTGTTTTGTTAGAGGAACTGCGCCCCTGGGAAGCAAGCGCGGGTGTTCTGGGCTGAGGGACAGACCTATGAAGAAAGCTTCCGCAGAAGTGGTGTGCAACAAGGGATGACACAGTGGGAGGGGAGGAGAAAACCCATCCCCCAGCCTGTCACTCGAGACATCAGAAATCCCGGGGACAGCTGAGCCAGGGACTACAGGGCATATGCTGGCCACGATGGCAGACTCTGGGCTTCATTTTGAGGGAGCCTGGACCAGAAGAAACCCTAGAAGGAAGAGTGCTTCCACCTACCACTGGGCTGGCTGAATGTGCAGGGGTGCCCCCGAGGGCCTCCGCCCCAGGTTTCCCTTCAGCCCGTGCAGGAGCAGGCACCAACTTCTGCAAGGGGGAAGGGGAAAAGCTACGTTTGAGGACTGGCGGGGAGCTGACCTACTCCTACTAGCCCAGGGCAACCTGCACCCCAGAAGGGAGGACGACCCCTCCCTAGAGAACAGAACATCAGGGAGCGCGCACCTGTAGAGCCCCAGTTCAAGGCCGGGGACTCACCGCCCAGGACTTGACTCAGCCACGCTAAACGGTCAGCACCTGCCCAGCCCCGGGGCTGACGGCTTCCCCTTCTCCCGAAGCGCGGACCACTTTTTTGCGGGAGGCCAACTTCAAGCCCTGGAAACACGTGTCCCGACCGTCCCTGGGTCGAAGTCCCACGCCTAATACACACGCAAACACAACACTCACTCACTCACTCCTCCGGGACCTGGGATCGGGGCGCAGCGCCGGCACCGGACAAGCCACCTCCAGACACACCAGCCCAACTTGACCGAAGCTCCGGCCAGGTCCGGGGTCCGGCTTTGCCGCCAGGCACAAGCTCCACCACCCGCGCCCGGACGGCGGCTCACCACGCACCCAAGCCCGCGCGGGGCGAGGCGGCGCTCTGCGGCTCGGAGCGCACTCGCGGCCGGGGTTGCTCCCTGGCTCGTGCTCGCCGCCGCCCCTGACCGGGCTCCGCGGGGCCAAGGGCTCGTGACCGAGCCGGAAGGAGCGCCGGCCCCGGACTCGCCGCTGGGGACCAGGGGGCACAGCCCGGAGCGGCGGCGGCCCAGCCCCTCCCGCCCTCCCGGGCGCTCCCGCCCCGCCCGGCGCCCGAGTTCGGCTCCACGGGGTCCGGGCCGCGGCCTCCCGCTCGGCGCGAGCGATCGAAGCAGACAAAGCCGCGACGCCCTCAGGCCGCCCCCCTGGGCGGGCAAGGGAGGGAGGCTGAGGGACGGGAACGGGCGCCCGGGCAGAATCCTCGTGCCCAGGGGACGCTCGAGGGGCGGCCTCAAACAATGGGGGGCAGGCCCCGCGGCTCCCGCGGGGACCCCCGCGCTCTACTCACCCGGCGCGGCGGCTGCACGGCGCGGCCCGGCTCGGCCGAGGAAGTTAGAGCAAGTTCGGCAGCGCAGGCGGGAGGGCGCGACTCGGGCCGGCCGAGCGGCGGGGCGGGGGGAGGGGCGGGGCCGGGGGCGCGCGGCTGGCGGCGGCCGAGGGAGGGGCGCCGCTTCCCTGCGCCGCCCGGTGCGGGCCCGCCCCCGGGCACGCCCCCGTCTGGCTGGCCCCGCCCCCTCTCCGGCCCCGGCCCCGCCCTCCAGCCCGCACGTCACCCCCTGAGGTGAGGTTCGGTCGCCCGCGGGTCCCTTGGCCGGGCTGTGGGCGCCCCAGGCCCCGAGCCTACCCTCGGTGGGTCCGCGGCGCGGCGGAGCCCGGGCTCGGGCGTGCCCCGGTGGCCTCGGCGAGCTCGCGGGGCCGCTGCCTGGGCTCGCCCCTGACCCGGCCGAGCCTGGGAGACGCACCGACTGCGGGGAGGCCACGTGTGGCGGGCCACGCAGAGGGACCGGGTCGGGTTGGGAGAAGGTTTAGGAAAATGGCCGTGCGGCAGGCAGGAGACATTCCTGCCAGCCCTGGGAGAAGGGGTGGTACATGAAGATTTTCGTTCCTTTGCTAAACCGAGCAGTTGAAGGGCTGGCGCTTTCTAGCCTTGGTACTAAAAATACCAGGCTTTCTTTGGATCGCCTGCTGAGATTTGTTCCTCATCTTTATGCTGAGGAGATGTCTGGGCGGTTTCTTGGAGGCTGGTGGGGAAGGGACAGGCCTCGGTGGGGAGTGCCTGTGCGGCTCGCACGGGCCCCAGCTAGTCTCAGCCTGCCCCTCTGTACCGCGAAGCACAGGCATTCTGCTGTTTCTGAGCTCACCGGGTTGGGGGCTGGCAGGGGGCCAGGTGATCTGATCTGCTGGGCAACATGAAACAGGCATCTATTTTTTTTTAAAGATTTATTTATTTGAAAGGCAGTTACACAGAGAGAAGAGAAGGCAGAGAGAGAAGTCTTCCATCCACTGGTTCACTCTCCAAATGGCTACACCGGCTGGAGCTGGGCCGATCCGAAGCCTGGAGCCAGGAGCTTCTTCTGGGTCTCCCATGTGGGTGCAGGGGCCCAAGGACTTGAGCCATCTTCTACTGCTTTCCCAGGCCATAGCAGAGAGCTGGATCAGAAGTGGAGGAGCCTGGACTCAAACCAGTATCCTCTTGCGATGCTGGCACTACAGGTGGCGGCTTTACGCAATGTGCCACAGCGCCAGCCCCCAGGCATCTATTATGATCAGCGTGTGCCCTGGCCTTGGAGGCCATCTGGGGAGTGAACCAGCGGATGGAAGATGTCTCTCTGTGTCTCTCCTTCTCTGTAACTGACTTTCAAATAAATAAATCTTTTAAAAATAAGATAAAAATGGGCTGAGACTGCACCAATTTCTATTGCAAGCAACAAACAGGTTTAAGTCCAATGTAAGGAGGAAGTATTGAAATGGAGACTGCGCAGGCCATTTCCCAGTTTTTGCCTGCTTTTCAAAGAGGGATGCATCCTGTCTCTGTGACTCCGGGGCAGCTCACGGACCTCCCAACGAATCTGTCCACTCTTCAGTAGACTCCAAGTGCTTGACTGAACATCTGCTGTTAGAGCCCAGTTTCCATGCTTGCGGGAAACAAACAGCTGAAGCCTTTTGCTCCATCCTGCTTGTTTGTAGTGGAGAAGACAAGTAGTTGCAAGTTGACAAAAATGATGGGACAAAAACAAGGGGCGGGGCTGTAGAACAACAGCTACTTTAGATGGGGCATGCAGAGAGGAGGGCATTCAGGAGGTGATGTTGACATTTAAGGCAAAGGAATGATGAGTCTGCCTTGGAGGAAAGTTGGCACATCCCAGCTTGAGAGCAGTAGGTACCAAAGCCCCAGAAAGAGTGAGCTCTGCCTGTGTTAATGTGACAGGAAAACTGGTGAGATGAATCCGAGCTCTTGCCCGGGTGTCGATGACAATTTAGAAGACCGGACACATGGTGAGAGTAGAACTTTAAGAAAACAAGAAGATGGCCAGCGCCATGGCTCACTAGGCTAATCCTCCGCCTGTGGCGCCGGCACACCGGGTTCTAGTCCTGGTTTGGGTGCCGGATTCTCTCCCGGTTGCTCCTCTTCCAGTCCAGCTCTCTGCTGTGGCCAGGGAGTGCAGTGGAGGATGGCCCAAGTGCTTGGGCCCTGCACCCGCATGGGAGACCAGGAGGTAGCACCTGGCTTCTGGCTTTGGATCGGCACAGCGCGCCGGCCATAGCAGCCACTTGGGGGGTGAACCAACGGAAAAAGGAAGACCTTTCTCTCTGTCTCTCTCTCACTAACTCTGCCTGTCAAAAAAAAAGGAAAGAAAACAAGAAGCTCTGAACAGTACCATCGCAGGGGCTGGTAGGGAAAGAGACCAAGCTGCTGAGGTCTTGTCTGTGGGTATTTGTGTGTCCTTTGCACGTTATCTCCTAGGAACAAAGGTAGTGTTTATGCATTAGTTACTGTGAAGGCCGGGGGCAGTCTGAATGGAGCCCTTTCTGGCTTGTTTTATCCAGACCTAGATCTTGTCCTTGAAACCCAGATCTTGTTATCGTTGAAGAGTGTTTGTTGTTGGGGCCTGTGTGGTGGCTTAGTAGGCTAAGCCTCTGCCTGCGGTGCTGGCAACCCAGGGCGCTGGTTCCTGTCCTGGCTCCTCCTCTTCTAATCCAGCTTTCTGCTTATGGCCTGGGAAAGCAGAGGAAGATGGCCTAAGTGCTTGGGTCCCTGCACTCACATGGGAGACCCAGAAGAAGCTCCTGGAATCTAACAAGCAGGTTAAATTTTCAGGGTCTAAAATGAAGGACACAGACATTGTGAGGGGACCTAGGAAAGCTATTATCCAAAGCAGGAGGAGGAAGTTTTCCCATTGAGAGGCAAATAGAAACTGACAGGAGGGACTTGACAATAATCACTGGGTGTCAAGGCCTAGCCAGGTATATAAGAAGCCCAGACCTATCTCTCTCTTCACATGAGGTGCTAGAAGAGACATCATAATGGAGGTATGAACCTCCTTAGGGAAGACACCCCATTGGCTCCCATTACCTGACTGGCCCGAGAAGAGAGTTGGCCTGAAAAGGTTACTATAGAATAGGGAGTTACCTCCAAAAGGAAATGTCCTGCCTGCAATGTTACTGACCCTGGGCCATCCCCTCAATAGCAGTGTTTACTAAGGAAGCAGGGTTGAGTGAAGGGCTTTTTCAGCTTAGAGCCAACAGGGTCTGCAGCCCTGACCTAGGAGTCCATGGACTCCAGGGTGGTTACATGTCCAGTGACCCAGCTCTTGGCTGGCAGAGTGACAAGGCTTTTTGGAAGCTGTCATAACAGTTGTTTCCCCAAAGCCTTGGCTTTGCACATGGAAAACCAGTGCCATTTGGGAGTGGGTGGTGTTGTTGGGTCTCCTTGATGGTGGACATGGCCTGAGCTAGAAATCTATAGTCACAGGCATGTTCTGATAGTGTTTTTGTTGTTTTTAAAGATTTATTTATTTGAAAGGCAGAGGTGAAGAGAGAGAGATAGAGAGAGGTCTTCATTCCACTGGTTCACTCCCCAGATGGCCACAACGGCCAGAGCTGCACTAATCTGAAGACAGAAGCTTTTTCTGGGTCTCCCATGTGGGTACAGGGGCCCAAGGACTTGGGCCATCTTCCACTGCTTTCCCAGGCCATAGCAGAGAGCCATGTAGAACAGCCGAGACTCGAACTGGTACCCATATGGGATGCCGGCATTTCAGGTAGTAGCTTTATGTAGTATGCTACAGCACCGGGGGCCCCGCCCCCTTTTTTTTCTGTGAGATAAGACAGTGCCTATGAGGAAAGCTATGTCCTTCTAAGATCAAAAGATCAAACATGATGACCACCTTACCTAACCTGTCTATAAATTTTAAAGTCATTAGTAAAATGTTTTATCTCTCCCTTAGTTTGGTTTGAAAAGGGAGATTGTGCCTGTTTACTGTGCCCATGGCAAAATAAATCTGGCTGTAATATCATATCATAATGTAAGCTCTCATTTTTTTGGCTAGGTTATTTGGTCTTCTATTTGGGGCCAAGCATTATTACAGAAAAAGATCAGTCATCATTTTACAAGGTCTGGGGATTCAAACTGTACATCCTGATGGGGAGCCCTTCAGAATAGTCAGCTTTTCATCTAAAAGAGAATATAGGAGAAATGAGGCAACAAGTCAGGCCTCCCAGATTGCTTACTCTAAGTAATTTAATATCAAGTGAAAACTTAATAAGCAATTTTAACTGTCAAATAACAACAACTTATAAAAGACATTTACCAAAAGGCCCAATGCCTTCTGTAAATTTTAAGACAAGAGTACATGTAGCTGTGTGCAATATGACAAATATATTTACAATTGGTGTTTTGGAAAAATACAAGCATGGGTTATATTTTTTGTATGTTTTGGAAAAATACAAGCATGGGTTTTAGAGTGAATCTGATTTCACAGCAATGGAGCTGGGGCCAGCCTGGTGGTAAGGTGAATAAAGCTGCTGCCTGGGAGGCCAGCATCCCATATGGGTGCCAGTTCGTGTCCCAGCTGCTCCACATCTGATCCAGCTCCCTGCTAATGGCCTGGGAGAATAACGGAAGATGGTCCAAGTGCTTGGGCCCCTGCAGCCATGTGGGAGACGCAGATGAAGCTCCTGGCTTCTGGCTTTTGCCTCGCCCAACCCTGGCAGTTACAGCCATCTGGGGGGTGAACCAGCGGACGGAAGAACTCTTTCTCTCTCTCTCTCTCTCTGCCTCTCTGTAACTCTTTCAAATAAATAAATAAATCTTTAAAAAAAAAAAAAAAGGAAAGCAAATAAAAAAAAGAGTACGTGTAGTTAGAAATATTGATCTTTTACATTTACCAACTTTTTTTTAAAGATTTATTTATTTATTTGAAAGGCAGAGTTACAGAAAGGCAGAGAGAGAGGTCTTCCATCCAACAGTTCACTCCCCGACCACAATGGCCAGAGCTGAGCCGATCTGAAGCTAGGAACCAGGAGCTTCTTCCAGGTCTCCCATGAGGGTGCAGGGCCCAAACCATTGGGCCATCTTCTACTGCCACCATAGTAGAGAGCTGGATTGGAAGTGGAGCAGCCGGGACT